AAAAACAGTTCATGTAAGATTTTACAGAAAATACAATAAAAAATCTTTACATTTCTCAGTTGGGCATTTCATTTTTAGGTGCCTCCATTCAAATGCAAAATTGGAACATTTACAATTTAGAATTAGATTTTATTGTCATGTGTACTCAAGTATCGAAATACAGGAGCACAGTCAAAAGTGTACAAAGTCACTATTGTCTGGTGCCATCTTGGTTATACACTTGATTACAAAACTGGAATTTAACAAAACAGCAAAAATAAAAGAAACAAAGCCAAAAATAATGAAAAAGGTCCAGATATTAAAGTCTTACTTAAGTCTTATCTCCCTGCAGGCATCCAAGCCAAGTCACGACCTAGACTCTCAGAGGGGCCTGAGTGCTTGCTGCCACCGATGCTATTGCCTCTAATCGCCTACTACTGCTGCCACTGCCTTTGATTCTATGGTTACCAGTGCTGCAACCAGATCTTGGAACATGCTCAGGCAAGGTCCACTCATAGCCTTTGATCACTGGGTCCGAGAACATTGCAGGGCCAGCATGCAGCCTCCGATCGCTGGGTCTGTTTACTAAGTATGATAAAAAAAAACTATTTACATTCCAGTACAAGCTACAAGGGATCTATAAGTTAACAAACCCTCAGGATATAATGGCAGGAAGGACTTACACCTATCCTCTTCTCTATCCATCTTCTATCCGCCTCCCACTCTCTCCCTATTTATTTCAGAACCCCTTTCCCCTCCCCCTTTTCTGATGAAGGGTCTAGGCCCGAAACGTCAGCCTCTCTGCTCCTATGATGCTGCTTGGCCTGCTGTGTTCATCCAGCCCTGCACCTTGTTGTCCAGAACTTAGATGGTGTCTTTTTTCCACTGTGTCTTGGTGGTGCTGCCCTAAGCTATAGTGTGTTCTTCAGCATGGAGCCCTGGACCTTGGAATGTGCCAGTCTCCAATATCCAAATCAAGGACAACTCTTTGCAGTGGCAGTTCAATAAGTTTTGGCCGTCTTTCACCAAGTTGTTGATCTAGGTGCAGTTGATGTTTGTCTCAGCATGCATCGCAGGAAACAGCCCAAAGAACACTGTATCAAGGAGTTGCTCAGAATGAACTTCGACAGAAACCACTATGTCTCTCTCCAGGAACAAAAACAAGAAGTTTCTGGAAAAGCTCAGCAGGTCTGGCACCATCTGTGAAGAAAAGATCTGAGGTAACATTTCCGCTCTGGTGACCCTTCCTTCAGAACTGAGGAAGGGTCACCGGACCCGAAACGTTAACTCAGATCTTCTTTTTCCACAGATGGTGCCAGACCTGCTGAGCTTTTCCAGCGACTTTGTTTTTGTTCCTGATTTACAGCATCCGCAGCTCTTTCGGTTTTTATTTAGTATATAACTCTCTTCAGATCTTCTTTATAAGGGCACATTCCGCAGGAAGATGTGCAACAATCTCTTCAGTACCACAGCCATCTTGAGGGCAGCAAATGGTGGAACAGACAGTCTGAATATGTATATAAGATCGAAAAGGTAATGCCTTTCTCACAACCAGCCAAGTTACATCTTGGTGCTTGTTGGACCCACAGGGTAACAATGGTATTAGGAAAGAACTTAAACAAGGAATTAGAAGGGCTAAAAGGAGTCATGGAAAGTCTTTAGCAAACAGGATTAAGGAGTGTCCCAAAGCTTTTTATACATATTTAATAAGCAAGAGGGTAGCCAGGGAAACAGCCCGCTCAAGGACAAAGGAGGGAAGCGAGATGTGGAGCCAGAAGAGGTAGGTGAGATCCTAAACAAATACTTTGTTGAAGAGATGCCGGTGTTGGACTGGGGTGGACAAAGTCAGAAGTCACACAACACCAGGTTATAGTCCAACAGGTTTATTTTAAATCACAAGCTTTCGGAGCACAGCTCCCTCATCAGGTGAAGTCAACTCTTTGTGTCAGTATTCACCAAACAGAAGGAATTGGTGAAGAATGATCTCAGTGAAGGGAGTGTCGAATTCTAAGTCAAGTTGCTATTAAAAAGGAAGAGGTGTTGTGCGTCCTAAAAAGTATTAAGGTAGCTAAGTCCCTGGGTACTGATGGGATCTATCCCAGAATATTGAGGGAGACAAGAGAATTAATTGCTGGAGCATTAACAGACATCTTTATATCCTCTTTAGCCACAGGTAGGTCCCAAAGAACTGGAGAGTAGCCAATGTTGTCCTATTGTTTAAGAAGGGTAGCAGGGATAATCCAGGAAATTACAGGCCCGTGAGCCTCATGTTAGTGGTAGGGAAATTATTAAAGTTGTCAGGCACAAGATCTATGTACATTTAGAAGCAAATGGACTTATTAGCAATAGACAGCATGGTTTTGTATAGGGGGTGGTCATGCTTCACCAACTTGATCGAGTTTTTTGAGGAGGTGACGAAGATGATTGATGAGGAAAAAGCAGTTGATGTGGTCTATATGGATTTCAGTAAAGCCTCTGACAAGGTCCCTCATAGCAGACTAGTACAAAAGGTGAAGTGACATGGTATCAGTGTGAGCTGGCAAAATGGATACAGAACTGGCTTTGTCATAGAAGGGAGAGGGTCGTGGTGGAAGGATGCTTTTCAGAATGGAGGGTCCTGACTAGTGGTGTTCCACAGGGATCACTGCTGGGACCTCTACTGCTCATGGTCTACATAAATGATTTGGAGGAAAAGGTAGGTGATCTAATTCATAAGTTTGCGAATGATACAAAGATTGGTGTAATTGCAGATAGTGAGGAGGATCATCAGAGGACTAAATAGGATCCACATCAGTTGGAGGCATGGGCAGAAAAAATGCCAGATGGAGTTTAATCCAACAAATGTGAGGTGATGCATTTTGGAAGGTCAAGTATGGATGGAAATTTACAGTGAATGGCAGAACCATTAACAGTATTGATATGTAGAGGGATCTGGGAGTGCAGGTCCACAGATTACTGAAGATGGCAGCGCAGGTAGATAAGGTAGTAAAAAAGACCTACGGCATGCTTTCCTTCATTGGAAGTGGCATTGAGGATAAGAATAAACAAGTTACGCTGCAGCTTCATAGACCTTTAGTTAGGCTGCACTTGGAATATTATGTCGAGTTCTGATCACCACACTACCAGAAGGATGTACAGAAGAGGGTACAGAAAAGGTTTACTAGGATTTTGTCTGGTATGGGGGACTTTAGCTATGAAGAAAGGTTGGATAGACTTGGTTTGTTTTCACTGGAACACAGGAGGTTGAGGGACAACCTGATACAGTGCAAAGTGGAGGGGTCAATTACTAGGGGACACAAGTTCAAGGTGTTCGTGGGATAGAAGTTTAAAAGAGATGTGTGAGGCACGTTTTTCACACAAAGAGTGGCGAGTGCTTGGAACATGCTGCTGCAGGTGGTGGAAGCGGACACAATAGCAGCATTCAAGAAACACCTGGACAAATACATGAATAGGAAGGGAATAGAGGGATATGGATCCTGCACATGAAGCCAGTTTTAACATGGAAGGGCAAAATATGGCTTGGAGGGTGAACGGCCTGTTCCTGTGCTTTTGTTCTTCGTTCTTTGTTCTTTGTATGACATTCAGCGATAATAATGCCATTGAATGGCAAGAGATGATTCAGATGTCTCTTGTTGGAGATGGTTATTGCCTGTTACTTGTACAGCATTAAAGTTACTTACCATGTCACATCAAAAGTCCCAACTCAGGATTTGATAGCTACAGAAAGAATATCATAATGAAACCAAACAGGTTGATAACGAATCTGTAAATCCTTCTAACAGGGCAGGCATTAACAGAGAAGTTTCTGGTCAAGCAGAAAAGTTTGGCAGCTGCCACTTAAAAAGACTCCAAGTGTAGAATCTTGCCATGAACGAGTTCATTTTTGCTTCAAGGGACCAGCCCAGACACACTTGCCACTATCAGTTTCAACATTGAATCTTGCTGTGTATGGTAATGAACTGACTCATTGTCTGAGGAATTGCAAAGGGAACTGAACACCCAATGATCCTCAGAAAACATTCCTATTTATGATTTTCTGAAGTAGCTGAACTTGGAATTCTGTCCGAGGGAACTTCTGGACTGATTTAAAATAAAACGAAAAAAATGCAGGAGAAAACAAAATAAAAGAAATTTCTGGAGAAACTCAGCAGCATCTGTGGAGAGAAAGCAGAGTTAACATTTCAAATCTCCTAAGACTTTCCTTTGGAACTGACAGGAGTTGGAAAATTGTGTTTATTACGCTGCAGACAGAGGAGCAAACGGAACAGATCAGGGAGTGGGCACGGTGACTCAGTGGTTAGCATTGCTGCCTCACAGGACCTGGGTTTGATTTCAGCCTCAGGCAACGGTCTGTGCGGAGTTTGAACTTTCTCCCCGTGTCTGTGCGTGCTTCCTCCTACAATGCAAAGATGTGCAGGTTAGGTGGATTGGCTGTGCTAAATTGTCCCATAGTGTCCGGGGATGTGCAGGCTAGGTAAGCTAGCCACGGAAAATGTGGGGTTATGGGGATAGCTTGGGGGTCTGGGTCTGGGTGAGATGCTCTTCTGGTGCAGACTCGATGGGCTGAATGGCCACTTTCTGCACTGTAGGGATTCCATGATCACGAGTGTGCCCAGAGCAAAAGACAAAGACAGTCTGGACTGATTTCTTGGGGTTGAAATAATTGGCTTCCAGTAATCCTTTTAACCAATGTAGAACCAACTAACCTGACAGAATAGAAAAAAAAGATATAGAGTACCAAGAGATAGTAAGACGTGCAGATGCTGGAGTCTGAGATAACACAGTGTGGAGCTGGAGGAACACAGCAGGCCAGGCAGCATCAGAGGAGCAGGGAAGCTGACATTTCGGGTCGGGACCCTTCTTTAGTGAAAAAAATAAAGTACCAACCTTGTATTTGCATCCCTGACATTGCAGCGTTAGTACTGTAAGCGGGAGCTCTCTGCTCAGGCAAGGAACCTCTTGAAGCAGTACATGTATCTTTCTCTCTCAGTGCGCATGTGTTGGAAGCTGGGTGTGTTGGTCAGAGTACGGAAGCAATGTTTTAATAACTTTTCCCTTGGAAAAATAACTTCAATGATAAATGCTCTTCAGTCGGTTAGAAATTAAAGGCACGGGAGTTATTAACTGCTGATAGCATTTATTTTAAGAGGAGGAAAAGAAAAGATTGATGGTTACAGGGTGCAGCAGGTTGCTGATTAAGCGCTGTGGTGGGAGCGCGAGCAGGTTACCTGGCCAGGTGAGCGCGGGATGGAGCCAGAGCACGAGCAGGCTACAAGTGCTACTCTGGGACTCGGCATCGCCCTGCTCGCCAGCCTCGTCAATGGCTCCACTTTCGTTTTGCAGAGAAAGGGCATTCTTCGAGCTGAGAGACGAGGTTTGTAATCAATTGGGTAACCTCACTAACTTCCCCTTCCCCAGCAAAAAAAAAACAAAAATCTTTGCATGTAACACTGCCACCGGAAAGGTATTATGAAAATGTTTAGCGGTCAATGCATGCACGGAACAAGTGTTACTGAGTCACAAGCTTCCTCTGGAAAGCTTTGAGTCATCCACACGGCCTGACTCCCTTCTAAAACTGCAGCGTAGATTGTAAAATGCTGGTCGCATCCCATGATGTGTGGTCATTGTAGAATATCAACTCTGCCAGAAACAGTGCTGATGGAGCTGAATTCTAAGCGTCTTCCCCCACCCATCCATTAATGAGCCAATAAACCATTTTGCAAAGTGGACTAAATGTACACTTTTGGATAACAGCCATCTACACTTGAAAGTAATTTCTAGTTTTAATTGAAAATTTAATGTAAGGGATCAGCAATTAAAGATTTGATTTGCATTTTGTCTCAGTTTCCACCACTTAAAAATGTAAGATTAACACATTATTTTGTTCCAAAACATTTGTGCTGGAATAAGATTTATGTTTTGCTTCTCAGAACAGAAAAATATTTAAAATTAGTGTATTTTCTAGTCTGCATTCCCATTGGAAGCATTAAAAGAATGACATTGTCTTGTAAGTGAAAAATATGACTTTGTCCAAAATGGATGTTTTGTGGATCCCACCTAAGTAGATCTAATCTTAAAGTTATTTATTCTCCCTAACTTGAAAAATAATGTCAACCACAATGGTTTTATATCCTTGGTTACAGTTCATGAAATATTGGTACATGGCACAGAAGGCAGCCCTGTGTCAAACATTTCAGTCGAGATATCTCGACTCAGTCCCACTGCCTTTTCATAGCCCTGTTTTCGGATTTAAATATGTCTTTTTTTTTTATTTCACTCGCAGATACAATGGTCTTTTGACTCAAATATCTTCTATTGGAAAACTTTCCATGTTAAAACTCTCCGCTACCCCTTGGTGACATATTTAAATGATTTGTTTATACTGTATGGATTTTGTAACCAGAGGAAGTTATCTTTTTGCTATTCACAATTTAACATCATTTTGAAAACACCTATTGAATTTCTACTTGTTTTTCTTTGCTGTTGTGGAAAAGTTCCTGCGTCTTGATCCTGTTCTCATTTGTTAGTGTCATGTTGGTAAACATATGCTGTTAAACTGTTATAATGGGGTGCCCAGTGCTCTCTGGCCTACTGAAGAAATTCATCATTATTTTACATTCTATACCGCATTTATAAAAACAGAGAACTCTTGGATTCTATTGTGGCTATATGTGCCTACACTTGAATATAAAGGGAACAATATCTGTGAACCTCTTTGTTAATCAGCCTTTTTGTGCCTTTGGATTAATCATAGTCTAGAGGACTACAGCACAGGAAAGAGGCCCTTCAACCCATTCACCAAAAACAATGACTTAACTATTCAAATTCCATTTTCCAGAACTTGATCCATAGCCTTGTATGTCATGGCATCACAAGTGCACTTTTCAATATTTCATTAATGTTATGAGGGTTTCTGCT